CCCGGCGCGCGCCCGCCCCCCGCCGACACGCCCCCTGCCCTGGCCCGCCACCCCGCGACCTCCCGACCTCCCCCCGGGCCGGGCCTGAGCAGGACCAAAAAGTTGGGTGACCTTGGGGGAGGGTCACCACCCAGGGGGCCTGGCCGAAAAGTGGGAATGGGGCCTCCAGATACTCAGAGGGGGCCCAAAAGTGAGGCCACACCGAGCTCAGGGGCCTGGAAGCTGGCATGGGGGCCCCCGAAATTTTGAGCAATCATTCATTTTTAGAAGAAATGAAGGGAACGCTGCCAGTGGGTCCTGGGGAGATGGCTTTGCTTGCCTTTTGCCCTCTTGTATCCATAGCACTGTGGTTACAGGGAGCTCCGAGAGTTGTTGTTGGCCTGCTAACCAGACAGTCTGGGTTCAAATCCACCCGCCACTCCCTGAGAGATAATGGGCGGTGGTCCCTTTAGGGAGAGAATAGCAGCTTCAGGAAGAGATGGAGGATTGAATGATGGATGGAGAGTGAATTCAGGGGCAGTGGGTTTGGGTTTGAGGAGGCGACTAAAGCCCTCAGCCTTCCGCACTGAAGGAATGTGTGCAGAAAGCTGAGGTGGCCGTCCAGGATCACCTGCCTCGCGCTTGCTAAGGAAATAGCTAACGTCTGGGAGCCTTTCCTTGCTTGCCACGCTCATTCTGCTGGCCCAATTACAGAGATGGCACTAAGACCTTTTTGCAGGGCTAGAACCCGCGGCCCAGGAATTGGGCTTTCAACCCAAAGACAAGTGATCTGAATCCACCAACTGCTCCACGGAATAGGCAATCACTTTTCTGTGTGATATGTTGTTGTTGTTGTGTACCCTAGAGACAGAACCGATCCATAGCTGACCCTTCGGCGGGTTTTCAGAGGCAGTGAATCAGGAGGGGATTGCACATTGGAAGCAGGAGTGGCATCCACTTCCGTGAATAGCTTGCCTCCGGAAACCCTATGAACCTGGAGAAAGGATGAAAGTCACTCGCTGTGAGTCGCCAACGACTAGAGGACACTTACCAACATAACAATCTCCCATGGAGCAGCTGGTAGCTTGGAACCGCTTTCCTTCCATATTACAGCCCAGCTTCTTACCCCTAGGCTACCAGAGCTCCCTATGCTTCCAATTGGATGACATTTTAGGACTTAATCTAAAAGCTGGCAGTTCGCACCCATCCAGCAGAGCAGCACAGAAGAGAGGCCCGGTAATCTGCTTCTGTGAAGGTTAAGGTCTATCTAGAATCTATAACAACAGCACAAACACTGTATGTGGTACCATGAGTTGAAACTGGAAGGCACCAAAATATTTTTCCAAAATTAAAAAATAAAAAAACCTAAAAAGCAAAACAAGCACAACCCTTTGCCATCAAGTAGGAATCAATGCATTGCTGACCAAGAGGATCTTCAAAATCAACCCTTCGTGCTTGCCCACAAGGTCACCAGAGTTCTGTTTGTGTGGGTTTTGCTGTTGTTAAGTGCCTTCAAGAACAATTCATAGTGAACAACAGATCTGAACCTTGCCCTATCTTTTGCCGTCCTCATCTTCTCTTGAGGATGACACTTCAATCCATTGCTACAGTCACTGCACTTTTAGATTGTCATTTACAAAGCTGTAGGGCATGGTGCATGACACATTCTAGGCACGCTGGTAGGTGGGAAGGAAGGAAGGAAGGAAGGAAGGAAGGAAGGAAGGGAGGGAGGGAGGGAGGAAGGAAACCAGCTCATTACCTTTGAGTTGGAATTGACCCATAGTTGACCCTCCTAGTGGGTTTTCAGAGGCTGTAAATTGAGAAGATTGTCCATCTTTTCCCCTTCAAATCACTGGTAGATTCGAACTGCCTGCGAAAGGGCACTCCCACTAAGTGAGCAGTGCAATTCCCTATCCTCTAGGCCACCAGAGCTCTCTTAGGGTAGAGGGCAGAGATGCCAATAAATAACCTGCAGTGCGTGACAACAGCTTATCCTGCCTGAAATGTCACCAACGCTGAGGTTAAGGACCTAGTTTCCTGTCCTTGTAAAACACATTCTAAAGAATCCCAAGGATGCTGATTCTAGGTCTGGCTCTATCACTCCATAGTCACTGGTAGTCACTTCCCATCTCTGGCCTCTGTCTTCGCAACCATCAAATGGGCCAATAAGCTCCTTCTTTCACCTTCTGAAGTAAATAAATGTGACATGCCATCATTATCACTGTCCTTACTCTCCCCCTGCCCGTCCTCTCCAGCTTTCTAGAAAGTTCCTGACAAGAAGACGAAGGAGAAAAGACTTGAGCAGCAGAGCTGGCAAGGATGGTATTTGTTTCGGCTCTGTCAGAGAAGGAAGTAAGTGAATGCTTGTAAATTATAAGGCGCAGTTTATAAATTAAGATATAAAAATGGAAATGCAGATTACTCTGGTTTACGTCCAAGATCTTCAGCAGTTTAAAAAAAAATAAATACAAAACACCAACTTAATAGACAATCAGAGTCACAGTCTGTTTCCAGGAAAGAGCTGGAGTTTCAGAATGTGCAAAAATTGTCTTGTTCAGATGTACGCCTACTCATGCTGTGTTTCCATGAAGCATGTTTCTGCACCAGCGCCACAGGCACCAGCCCCACAGGCACCAGCCCCACCGGCACCAGCCCCACAGGCACCAGCCCCATAACCATGGCCACGACTGAGGTATCTGACCTGCTCTGTCCCACATTGTTGCAAATGCTCTTGGTAGCTGACTTCAGCTCATGAGAATGCTGTGTACAAGACAACTCATGGCTGTTCTGTGCCATCGTCATCCTTAGTGAAGTCTGGTCCATGACTGTGGCCACTGTGTATTTTGAAAGCTCTGGTGATGTAGTTGTGGACCCTGTGCGGTGTCATGCTGCTAAACCAAAAGTCTGTGACTCCAGCCCTCTGAATCCCCCAAGCCGCTCTGCAGGAGAGAGCTGTGCAATCCCTTCCTGTTAGCATTTACAACTCCCTCCAGAAACTGGATGAAGGGTCACTGTGGGTTGGAACCAACTTGAAGGCAGTGAAGTGAGTGAGGGTATTTTGAGTGCCTTCTGAACCAGAAGAGGAGAGTTCTGGTGGCCTAGTGGCAAGAAGCTGCACTGCAATCCCAAAAGCATGAGGGTTCAAGGCCACCAGCTGCTCTGCAGAAGAAGGATGGGTAATCTCTTCCTGTGCAATTAACTGCCTCTGAAAACTGGAGGGTCAGCTGTGGGTCAGTTCCAACTCTATGGTACTCAACAACCAGCAACAACAACAACAACTCTGAACCAGTAATACAATCAGTTCTGCAGTCAGGAACCTCTTCAAGTTATTGAAGAGCAATGATGTCTGTTTGAGGACTAAAGTGTGTCTTTCCAATCACTTGCTATGCATCTGAGAACTGGACAATGAATCAAGATGACAGAATTGATGCCTTTGAGCTGTGGAGTTGGAGAAGAGTGCTGAACATCCCAAGTACTGCAAAAGAACAAACAAATACGTCTTGGAGAAAGTGCAGCCAGAGTGCTCCTTGGAGGCAAAGATGATGAGGCTTCATCTCACATACTTCAGACATGTTGCTAGAAGGGGCTATTCCTTAGAGAGGGTCGTGAGGCTTGGAATGGCAGAGGGTAGGTGAAGGAGAAGACAACCCTCAACCAGGTGGACTGATGCAGGAATTTCAGCAATAGTCTTGAGTATGTCAGACATTGGGAGGCTGACACAGGATAGAACAGGGTTCTGATCTGTTGTTCACAGGATTGCTTTGGGTCCTACTCATCTTAATGGTGCTTAACTCTGAATCAGGCAGCTCATCTTGATCTTCTAGCATTGTCTTGTTGTTGTTTGTTGTTGTTGTTATGTGCTATCAAATTGACTCATAGTGACCCGGTGTACATAAAAATGAATCCTCAAGCCTTCCCCACCTTCACAATCTCTGCTGTGCTTAAGCCCTTTGTCACAATCACTGAGTCAAACTATCTTTTTGAGGGTATTACTCTGCTTCAAGGATTCTCCACTTTCAACAATGATATTCCTTTTCAAACACTAGTCCCTGGAATATAACAAATTACATTAAGAACAAAATTCCTAAAACTCTTAGTTGTGCACATTCAAAATATATGCACAAACTAAGAAGCAGTTTTCTGAAGATAACAAGGGAATACAGTGTGATTTAAAATCAGGGAATATATTTACTAGGGTTGTATCCTTTCTTTATACCTATTCAGTCTGCATGCTGAGTAAATCATTCAAGAAGTTTGACTCTATGGAAGAAGGTGGCATAAAAATTGGAGAGAAGACTCGTCAACCACTAGCATTGTCCAGATAATATAACTTTGCTCCCCAGAAAGAGTTGAAATACTTACTGTAACAAGTTAAAGACTACAGCCTTCAATATGGCTTACATCTCAGCACCAAGGAAACAAAAACCCTTACCACTGGGCCAATAGACAACATCATGATAGATGAACAAAAGATTAAAATTGTCAATGATTTAATTTTATTTGCATTCACAGTAAACACCTTTGATAGCAAGAGTCAAGAAAGCAAAAGATGTATCGCACTTGGAAAGCCTGTTTTCA